CTACTCATGGGTGGTAGTCTCGCTAATCTCGCGACGGTTACACCCGGTAATCTCGGGACCGTCGGTTACACCCGGTAATCTCGGGACCGTCGGTTACACCCGGTAATCTCGGGACCGTCGGTTACACCCGGTAATCTCGGGACCGACGGTTACACCCGATAATCACACCGCTGACAGTAGCTCACATCGGCCCCTACCGAGCTTCCCGGTAGGTCGGACCTCAGCCAGGTTCACCTCGGCCCTCATACTTAGCATCTGTCAACGCTAGTGGCGGTGATCTCGGCGGTCCGAGCTGGGCATGACTCATGAGTCATCTTGGAGCACCAATAGGGGCCTTCCACGTGTCCAGGGTATTCTCTTCCCCAAACATAACGAAAAGTAGAAAAAGAATAGAAAAGTCAGAAGAAGGATTCATTGTTGATGGAGATAGTAGAGAATAAAAAGTTTACTTAGGTGTACAGTGTGACCCACAAGCAAGATATGTACTCTCCAGCTCCTTCTTCGATGAAAACAGCTTTTGTCAACGGGGGATGTTCCCTCAAATCGATGCTACTCAAAAATGGATCAAGAATATCATCCCCCTTTTTGGCTAGGACATCATTTCCTTATATACCGGGTCCTTAAAAATTAGGGCACCCTTTGGATGTTGTACGAACATAGTAACATTTTAAGCTTAATGAGTTACTGCGCTGTTATACGTTGTGGGGCATCGTGGCGACTTATAGGCTCCCGCCTAGCAGCTTTTTTTTCCATACTCCATCATAATTCCCAAAATCTTGGCAGCAGTCCTCTCATCCTCAGCTAAATTCAGTCATTCCTGCAATAACCATCTACCATTAAGCATTTAACACTAAAAACCGAGAAAATTAGGAATTACATCAACTTGGGGTCCACTTGATGTATTTTCACTTTTTCTTAGGTTTATTGATAAGGACCCTCACCCTTTCACACAACAGATGCCCCAAATAGCCTATTAAACACTCTCTAATTGAGAGTCATCAACGGACTAGTGAGCAGTATCATAAACTTCTGTGCGTGTTGAGATCTGAGGTTGTTAAAGGCGGAGGAGCAGCGAAATTGATCAAACAAGAGGGGAAAACAATGAATGAGATTGTGGTGGAGTCGACAGCCCAAGAGACGATGCTAGTGCATCTGCGGTAGCTAGGTTTTTTATATACTGCTTAAATAAAAAGGTAACTTTTATTATGTTTGTTCCTATGCTTCAATGTGGATTTAAACTCAGGCAAGATTTAAACTCAGACAAGTAGGTGACGGTGATGTAAAGATTTTTCTTCTTATTTAAATATTTTATTTTAAAATACTATCTTTTCCATTAAGATTTATTTTATTTTAAATTCTCACCTCGCCATTTTTTTTTAAAACATAGTTCAACTGACAAGTTAATTAATTTTCAATCATATTTTAATGAACGTTTTAAACTCTCAATACAAGCATTACGGCGGGAGCACCAATGATGTCTTGGCAAATTTACGGTGTCAAAATCATCGATGCTACTTGGAATGAGAAAGTGTGGGAAATTGGGATCACAAGAGATGATAAATGGGGTCAAAAGGGATGATAAATGAGGCAAGTTGACGGTGGAGATGATGATAAAATAATTGATGGAACAGGAAAAGGGAGTGAATCCAGAGATCCATGGAGAAACTTTCGAAATTGACAAATGAAAAGATTGTCAAAGGTGGGCGTTTTTTGAAAACTAGGAACTTCTCGTGGAACTACATTCAACTTTAATTTACTAATTCAAATAATCTCCATATATATATACATGATTTCATTTCGACATTTTCATTGCAATGACATTTCCATAACTATATTAGTTATATATTTAGATAGGATGGTTAAAATTGATCAATTATATGCTAATTAAGCTACAAAAAGTCTTATTTACTAATTCAAACAATTTGTATCAATATCCACAATTTTTTGTGATTTATTATGAAATATCTGTTTGGGGAAGAGAATACCCTGGGCACGTGGAAGGCCCCTATTGGTGCTCCAAGATGACTCATGAGTCATGCCCAGCTCGGATCGCCGAGATCACCACCACTAGCGTTGACAGATGCTAAGTATGAGGGCCGAGGTGAACCTGGCCGAGGTCCGA